GACTAAAGATATTACCACACACATTATCATCAACAGGTCATTATCCACTCTTATGTCCATTGTTTTGCTTCTTTTTTCCCCTTAATTTCCTCCCTCGCGTCTCCCATTTCCGAGTCTCCTCCCACACTGTCTCTAGTATCCAGTTGCTCTCTAAGATTTTATACCCTGCGATCTTACAGTTTCTGTCACAGACAGCAGACATTCGGTACATGTTAAATGGGGACATAAGTTTAGATTTTAACCTTTCTATTAAACATATGTGCTTTAAAACAAACATCATCCTGAAGGTTTTATAATAAAATCTGATGAATGTATCATTGGACCTGATTCTCTATCCTGCAACGCCAGGGTCAAATTAATAGAAAGAAAAATATTCCAAAGCACACAAAGGGATTTTATTATGTTTTTTTTTTAAAGAGTATTTTTTGTTTTATCCATCCTTCCTACTTAGATCTCCTCTTGTAGTTTATTTAGATCATAATGTTTAAATTGCTAAGATTATTATTGTCTGAGGAACTGCAAGGAGGCAGATCTGTAACTAGGACTTGCTTTTAGTAGACGCATGTCCTGGTGGCCTTGTTTTGGTATTCATAAATATTACAGCCAGACTTTTAATGGATATTCTAAATGAAAATAGAACTCAACTGCTAAAATTTAATTTTCTGTGTAAAATAAAAGAAGTGGCAAGAGATTAAATCATTGGCTGGAGGTTGGGGTCCATTTGGGGATCTCCCATAGGCTATATATCACCATGTGTGGCTTTCATTTTCTTGGTGCAAATTGATTTAATGTGCAACATTATTAGATTAATCAAGTCCCTTTGGAAGAAATGATCTTGCCAAAGAGATTTTGTTTAACTCTGTTCCTCTGTTCCACTCTGACCTCGAGAGTAGTTTTCGATCATTAAGAGAATGGGAAAGTTTTAGGACTACAGTCGGCAAGGCTCTTGTTCTTTTTTTTGGAGAGATTTTCACTGTAAGGCGCATGCGCTTGCCAGACAGACAGAGAGAGACATAGAGACAGAAAGCGAGAAATCACCCCCCAGGGGGGATGGTCACGCCGCAATCCCTTCTCCTCCATTCTCCTCTCGGGATCTTGGGCACGCACGCACACGCGCCCGGCGTGAGTTTTAAGCCACCGGGTCCGGGACGTGAACCGCTGTCGACTACGTGGGAGTCCAGCGACATAGCCATTACGCTAACTGCTGGTTCCCAAGGCTCTTGTTCTTTAAACAAGTCTTTATCCACCTTTGTCCACGGAAAGACAAAAACTTTATTGGAAAACCATGCCTCATGAGTTGAAGTCATAATTCACTGCTTCCTTTTGTTTTCTAGATGGGATTTTATTTCTCTATATTCTGCCATAATACAGATGAAAATCTTGCCTATTCTGTACTTATTAACTTCAACAATCAATTCCTCTCAAAATTTAGGCCCAGGAAAGCATCTGCATATTCCCATAAATGTTCAGTTTTTTTTTTTTTTTTAAATTAGGAGACAAATCTATATAACTATTATCCTCCATTTTCCCTGAGAAAGTAATTCGAGGGCAATGTCCGTTTTTAATTTTTGCAGACATCCTGCAGTGTGGTATCTAAAAGTATAGCCATCAGAATCAGACCGTGTAGGTTCAAATCTCAGCTTCTTCACTAAGTAGATAAGATTATTCAGGCAAATTATTCTACCCCATTGTGCTTCAGTATCCTTGTTTGCAAAAAGAGCACACTATGACTCTCTACTTCTTTGTAAGCTCTGAGGAGCAAATAAATTAATAGATGCAAAATACACACACTCAGCACACTGGAAGATTATTACTATAGAATTTTATTATTTTTAATTTTGTTTTTTAATGTTCTATTTTTATATATTTTAATATCTTAGGTTGCCTTAAATTTATCTTGAATGCAGATTGTATGCTCAGTGATTAAAAAAATAAAATGGCAAATTTAATAGATAAATTTTGAAATTATAGAAAATTACAAAAAGAAAATAAATAAAAATCATCTACTATGCTACTGAGTAGAGACTTTTAAAATTTTTTTGTATGTTTATTTTAGCCTCTTTCTCAAATATTTTACTGTAGTATTTAAATCACATTATATATCCTAATTTAATTCATTTATAATAAATCAAGGGATTTCTTAAATTTTGTTTTATCTAAACAAACTTCCTTGTACAAATGCACTGTCAATATTTACAAAATGCAAATATTCATTCTAGGTGAGTTCAAAACAACGACAAAAAAAATGAAGTTACAACTTCTAGTGAAAAAACAATATGCCAATCAATATATATGAAAGCTGAGTCAAATGAATACTTCTTCAATATCAGATTTCTTTTCCTGCAATGTCCTAACTTGTTTAGAAAATGATAAGAAACACTGTCAACTTCCTCTGACTCTCTAGATCATCTGTTTCTCAAACTTTGGTCACATAGGTATATTTTTTTCCACTCTTACATGAAACCAACTTTGCTCATAATAGTTATGTAATTACACACCTAAATGAAGCATAGTGCTGAATTTCTTAAAGTTTGAGCTTTCTCTCTTCTACTGATAGTTTCCAGAAACAGTTTTTCATCATGTAGCTGAACATTCCTTTATTCTTCAAAACACAGACTAAGGGCTTTGAATTTTCTCTCACTGAGCTCAGCTTCCCTTTAGTTATTTATTTTTATTAATTTTTTAATTTGATTTTTCCGTAGGACATATGTACTCATGGGAGAGAGACAGAGAGAGAGCAAATGAGAAATCACCCCCCAGGGAGGATAACCATACTGCAATCCCTTCTTCTCCTTTCTCCTCTTGGGATTTTGGGCTTGCACACACACGCACCTGGTGTAATTTTCAAGCCACTGGCTCTGGGACTGAAACTGTGGTCAACAATGTGACTCCAGGACTTTAACCACCATACCACATGCTGGCCACACCCCTCAGTCATTTTATGCGAGACAAGAAAATATCTTCTCTGAGCACTCACAGCTTTTTTATCTTCAACGTAGATTGATAAGTACATTTTTTAGACTGCAAGTGTCTACGTGTCTTTTCAGTGTTTTGCTATCACTGGAAGATAATAACAAGGAAACATAGCCCTGGCATGCTTACTAAATAACAGTGATATACCATTCTCACAGGATTAGGTTATGGCAGAGCTAGGTCTGTCATAGAAGGGTCACAGAAGAAATCTTAACTTTTGAAAACCTATTGATGATTGCTTTACAGATATTAATAATGCTTAGGTGGTTCTATGAGTGGTCCTGAATTAGGTGAGGGATACAGTGGTAGCAAATGCTACATATCTTATGAATCAACTTATTAAAAGATTGTCATCCCTGAAAGATCTAGCATGAATGTTGATTAGTTTCGATTAGCTTCTAGGTAGCTCTCTTCCAAGTGGTAACCTAGGGACCCAGACACTCTCCAACATGAAATGTTACCATCTCCTAGGAACTTAGGGATTTCTCTGATCTTCTGTACTCTAGTTACTAATAGGCAATGAAAAAGGGTAAGATGGATCATAGGGCAGTTTCGTACTCTTGAAAGTGGTGTTCATCACTTCTGGCTACATTGCAGGGGCCATAAGTCAGTGACAAAGGCTTAGCTGTGGGTCCAAGAAATGATGAAAGTGATGTGAAGAGGTTTAGTCTGCCATGACGTGGAGACATTTTCTACAGAAATGATAAACAACAAGGGCTACTTCTAGGAAATGGAATTGTACATTTTGACTCTTACTCTCAGTTTGCAAGGCAAAAACTTAGGATAAAAAGAGAAATAAAGATAGGAGTGTTTCTATTGTGAATTGATACCTCTATGATATCTCTATAGTTTGGTTTTGGTTTTGTTCTTTATGTATTAATCTGTCTAGATTGTAATTTTTTTTAAATTTTTGTTCCTAGGAAAGAGTTTTAGGTCACCTTCTCAGAACCAAGATGTTTGTGCATTTTCGGTACGATCCTAAATTTGTAGATTCCCTGAAATTTAGATAGAAAATCTTCTAGGTTTATTGCTAGATAAAACAAAGTCGCTCTTACTCTAGTAAATGATTAATCAGCCTATTGATGAACTGAATCTTGGGGAGAATTTATTACCTAAAGAAAATGGCAAAGAGACACAAAAATAATTTTGTGTATGTAAATAATTTCCAAGAAGAATGAAATTTAAAACTGTCCCTTTAATTTGGACGATACTTCTTTATTCCAACATTAATAAAATTAAAGAAAGAATTTGGACTAATTGTAAGGTTTCTAACGATTAAGAATGTATACATGAAGCCTGTTTCTTACTTTAGAATATAATTGTCCCTTGCAGATACCACAGGAGGGATAAAGAGGTCTATACATGTATATAATTTATTTCTCTTTTTCCTGAATGATATAGTATGCAATTTATGACTAAGGAACAAGTTCAAAGTCTAGCTGTCTGTTTCCTGGCCTCTTGGGTTAAAATCAAGGTCTCTAACACCACTTTCACGCAGGGTGTTGTTATGTTTTTTGAGGTGAGGCTTGGGGAGAGGTGGCGGAGGGTTAATATTTCAAAAAGGTAGCAATTACCTGATAACAGAAAGCACCGTGGGCTGTGTCTTGTTACCGCTCATTTCAGAGGTGCCAAATCTGCCGTGGACATCACCATCATTACGGCTTCAGTTGGCTGAGGTCACCTTGGTTCATGTGTTTTATACATTGGTAGCCTTCTCCTTATTACTTGCCAAACAAACCTTTTTATTTTTGCACACGTTTATGTTGATTTTGTGGTTTCTGAAATTGGATTCTGGCTCCTGGAGGCCTGAGTTTCCACAGCAACTGGAGGCCTTATCTGCTACTGGTTCTTGGCAGGCAGACAAACAGATCTTTCAGTTTACTTTGGGTTTTTTATTTAAAAAAAAAAAAAAAAAAACTTTTTTCTTCTCCTCTCCTGTTTTTCCTACACCCCGTCATTTAAGCATCACATAATTAATTGCGCACATCCTGTGCTACATGCAATTGCCACAGCTTTGAAGTCCCACTAGATCATTTTATAGAGCAGTGGGTACCATTTTAAAAGAAAAGAAATAGAACGAAGACCTGGCGCCAGGGCAGGGCTGTGTAGATGTGAATTTATCCTTCTGCAGGTATGATAAAGAAACCTGGGCACCTTCCGTTTGTTTTTCCGCATTTCCTTTGCACACTGGCCTTTTTAATATATAGGAAAGACCTCAGGCCTGAGTTTGTTATTTTTCTCTCTGGAGCTAATTCCTTTTCCAAAACTAGCATGAACTGCCTCATTTGGTGCTGAGATGAGGTTTGCTTTTTCTCTTTCAAATTAGGAAAAAAAGGGAGGGGGGTCTGATTTAGCATCATGTCATGTAGTGAC